ACTCGACTGGCATTCAAATGTAAACGCCAGAAATCGCTGAATTGTGGGGACGAAATGCGCATGAGGAGAAGGCGTTATACAGCGCTACGTACGACGTCTGAAGGTACTTGTCCCCTGTTTTGGTGTCGGCGACATCAAAGCTTGGCAATACCTCCCTGTATCATACCTTACACCCCAGCATTGCGTGTACCGCCCTCTCTCCCTTGGGTTGAGATACTACGATGCTGTTGGGGTTATTCAAACGTCCAGAACTGAGCCTCTACTTCAGTCAATCCTCTCTGCTGTGGTGTTACCCCTCCCTCCTATAAATAAAGTACCGGTAAACGACAAATTTGACTTTTCTCTCGCATTACTCCTCATCCCCATCACCATAATTATCCAAAGGGGAGAGAATTCCATATGAATGCCTAATAGCCACCATAAAATATCCATGGATCCCCGTCTGAAGAAGAAGATTGAGCCGGAGAGAGGCTCTAACGACATGGTAACATAAATAACCTACAAACCCCTCGCTCCACCCTCATCACCCCATCACCCAAAAAATTATCAAATTTCCAGGTTGTGGATTGGCTGAACGAGGCGTCAATGACGAACAACGACACGATCAAGATTGCAAACCTGTCGAAACTCCAGGAAATCCTCATAAATAAGGACATCGATCTGTTGGATTCCTACCTGGAGGAAGTCCTGCAGTTCTCTCTGGACAAGAACTCAGAAGTCAGGAAAACCATTTGCAGCTTTATCGAGGAAGCAGGAGACAAACGTCCAGAGGCAATTCCTCGAATGCTCCAAACCCTCTTGAGATTAGTGTCAGACGATGCCCCAGTGGTGACCAAACGTGCACTCCGAACCTGTGGAAAGATTCTTCGAGCAGCCCTGAAATGGGTATCGAGTGCTGCTGTTGTCACCCTGGAGATGGAGACAGCTTGGGGACAGTTGAGTGACCTGAAGAGCCAGATAATCAATATGATAGACAGCGACAACGATGGAATCCGAACTCAGGCAGTTAAATTTCTGGAGGGAGTGGTGCTCCTTCAGACATACCCTGACCCAGACTCCCCACGAAAGCCGGATGATTTTTCCCTGGAGGATATTCCCCTTACTTTAAAAATAGCGAGAAGGAGAAAATTAGAAGAGGAAGCAAACCACGTAATGGAATTATTGATAAAATTCCACGGTTCCCCCCACGTCAGCAGCTTGAATTTGATGACCTGCATGGGCAGTCTCGCTCTCATCGCCAAGACACGTCCCCAGTTCATGTCCAACGTCATCGCAGCCCTCCAACGTCTTCAGAATGACCTGCCCCCCACATTGTCCGACTCCCAGGTGACGAGTGTCCAGAAGCACTTGAAGTTGACGTTATTGAACCTGATGAAGCACCCAGCCAGCATCGAATTTGCCCCCACTATTGCCAAACAGCTAACACAACTGGGAGCCAAAGAGCAGGAGATCATGAAGGCCTATCCCAAGGCTGAGGACATTCGAAGGATGAAAAAGCGGCAGCAAGAGTCCTCCCTCAGTAATGCCTCAAAAAGAGTCAAACTCGACTCGATAATTCCCCCTTCCGAGGACTCAGAATCTCTCCCAGCTACTGCCCTACCAGTGAAGCTACCAGAGCTAATAGAACTTTCAGAATCCTTCATCGCTGATAGGTTGAGCGTTGAAATAGCCACAGAGCTTGTCATGGACAGCATGGCCTGGGTGCCAGATACCATGACTTCAATATTCCAACGTGAATATGTCCCCAATGCCACCACTGACACCAGCATTCAGCGTCAGACGATCTCCAAGCTTCTGGCAGCTCAGATAAAACAGGCTAAAGCTAAAAAAACGAAAAAGGATCTCAAAGAAGAGGACGCTGTGATGGAGGATTTAATAAAGAATCCAACAATTACAGTAGCTGAGGCCAAACGCGAGAGGAAACGAGAGAAAGACAGGGAGAAGGAGAAAGAAGCTAAAGCCACTCTAGAAGCTGAAAAGAATCTGGCCAAAACTAGGAACAGAATGAGGGTTTTGAAATTGAATGAGGTGGCAAAACCTTTGTCAAAGGACACCAAAGAGAAGATGCTGCTGATGGCAGTGAATAGAATTCTCAAGGCTGAGATGAGTGCTGTATTTGGTGGAGTTGCTGGAGTCAGATCTAAAATTCTTACCACATTAGCTGCAACATTCAATCCTTACATCAAGGAAGCTATTCTTCGTTACATAACTGAAGAAATGAGAACACGATTGGATCTAGCACTGGGTTGGCTGTACGAGGAGTATGCCCTGCTGCAGGGATTCCAGAGGAGAACAACTCTGGGGACAAAACCCCACGAGGCACCTCATCAAGCCTATAATTTCCTCTTGTGTACCTTAATTTCAGCTATTGATGAGATCCAGGGGAAAGATCGAGATCCTCTACTGGCACGATTATACCTGGAAGCTCCTCTCATAACGGAGGATGCTGTCGAAGCCCTAAAGAGCGTCTCTTCCGAGGAAAAAAGGGGCTTAGCTCCTTTAGTTCTCCTCAAGGATCTCGTTATCATGAGGCCTACGAAACAATTGACTTTTTTGAATGTTCTTCTCTGCCATACGGGGCACGAAAAGAAAATGATTCGGGATTCAGCTATTAGTCTGGTTGTTGAATTGTACGAGAGACCAGAATTAACAAAATTCATTGAGGAGTACACGGTTCTTTACCTGGGATTCTTGAGATTGCAGAATCCACCGGAAATCGTTTTTGGAAAGGATCGGGGGAGGGAGCAGGTGGAGGAGCAGTGGTCAGAGTCGACAACCAGAGCCTGTTTGGAGCTCTATTTAGCTGTTCTCGGTAAACATCAGGATTTGATCCATGAGTTAGCGAAAGTTTACTCGTCGATGGGGGCGGATGTAAAGAGGATAGTCCTGAGACTGGTTGAGGGTCCAGTGAGATCCCTAGGAATGGCCAGTCCTCAGTTGCTGAAGCTCGTAGAGATGTGTCCCAAGGGGGCTGAGACCCTCGTCACCAGGATAATCCATATTTTAACCGAAAAAGCACCACCCAGTGTTGAGCTCGTTGCTAAAGTCAGGGATTTGTATCAGACACGCGTGTCTGACGTGCGATTTCTCATTCCTGTGCTGAATGGGCTCTCGAAGAAAGAGGTAGTAGCAGCACTACCGAAACTTATTAAACTCAATCCCATTGTTGTGAAAGAAGTGTTTAATCGACTCCTTGGAACTCACAACAATGAGAGTGGAGTTCCTCATACGTCACCAGTGACTCCAGCTGAGTTGCTCATTGCACTGCATACAATTGATCCGAGCAAAGCCGAGTTGAAGACTGTTATTAAAGCTACGTCTTTATGCTTCGCTGAAAAACAAGTTTACACTCAGGAGACACTGGCTGTGGTGATGCAGCATCTTATGGAGCTCAATCCCCTGCCTACACTATTGATGAGAACAGTTATACAGAGTTTGTCGTTGTATCCGAGGCTCAGTGGATTTGTCATGAATATTCTGCAGAGATTAATTCTCAAGCAAGTGTGGAAGCAACCCAAGGTATGGGAGGGCTTTGTTAAATGTTGTGAACGCACTCAGCCACAGAGTTTCGCTGTGATCCTGCAATTACCACCTCAGCAATTGGGGGAGGCACTCAATATGGCACCGGGGCTGAAAGGACCATTGCTCGCCCATGTTGAGGCATTTGCTGAGAATCAAGTATTCATTTTTTCCGTACTTCAATTACGTTATCCGTTATTCTCTACCTCCTCTTCCATTTCTTATCGGGAATTTAGAATTCTAGTTGATTCAACTATTTGGTCATTGATTTTTCAGAAAGCTCACGTTCCACAATCGATAATGGACGTCATCCAAGGAAAACAAACAGTGGATATGCACGACGACTTTGATATTGCACCACCAGGAGAATATCCACCAGAGCAAAGAATAGAAACCATGGATGTTGATTTATCCGAACCAGCCCCGCCAGGGTTAGATTAATTGGATTGGTAAATGATCAATAAAAGCAGTGGATTTTAAGAATTATTTGTACATAATGAACGTCGCTTTCTATATTTTTCTATTGATAAAATATGTAACAAAATATTGGTCTAATTTGGTGAGACTGCAGGTATTTCGTTAATTTAAGGACTGACATGTAAGTGATAGTAGTAAAGCTGTGTACAACACTGGAGGTGGACTTTCAGTCTTACTTCATAGGGAGTTTGAATGATGTGGGGAGATTATCGTTCTGGGATCATCCGAAATCTACTCCAGTATCCAGTAGGTCTCGCAGCATGAAAGATGCCTTCTTGGGAAGAATTCTTTTGCAGAGAAAATTTTGTATTAGTTAATCCCTCGGAAAATTACTGCATTCTTCCTGTTTACCGTTTACCTGAGTAAGTGTCCGAGATACAATAGATAGCCTGGCACACTGAATTCCGCATAATTTCTGCGTACACCGTCCAAAATTTTTTTCGCTGCTTCAGTGGCTGGCATTGTTCCAAAATAACTGGGTAATCTGTAACAGACCCCCATTTTCTGCTGTTATAACTAGGAGTGGAATAAAGTTTAAAGTTGAGGACAATTGAATCAGATTAAAAATTCTAAATAGAGACTATTCACACACCTCTGAGTATAACCGACTAAATATTCTTTTATGCTTCAGACAAGTCTGCGTACGCTCAGCAAATCAATATCAAACAAGAGATAACAACGCGCATAACTTTTCATCTGGAATTTCAAATGAAAATTCTTGGGAGTTTAAAAACTTGTAATTTACGTGGAATTTCAATTTTATCATTTTAAATTAATGTGGACTTTAGTTGAATGAGTAGAAACGTTTCGCATGGGTGAAAAGGATGAAATACACTTCACCTGAACCTTATGTCCTTGGCCATCTCTGCTCCCACGATAAATGGATAAACATGCACGAGTGTTATGACAATATTACTATTTGATTGTCTAAATTCAGCGTGAAGGGACTCAGCGAAGCCCTGTACAGCAAATTGAGCTGTTGAAAGTTGTACTCTACCACTTCTACTTGAACCACCAGAGAATCCAGCTACTGAGGACAGTGCAACTATGTGGCCACGACCAGCTCGCTCCATGCCTGGCAGAACAGACTCCAACAGCTGGATGAGAGTTTCGGTGAGTGGAATTCAGAATTAAACTTTGGATGCAGTTGGTGGAGGCAATTCATTTGGGTGAGATATTTCAAGAGTTGCTTACCCAAAAATGACTTATTACTGATAGCTCCATGGCTTTTCGAATTTCTGGTGTTTCCTCCAGCAACACTCGGGGACTGGGTACTGCACAACAGTGGAAAACCATTGTAATGAATCCCAAATCCTCAGTAATTGATTCTACAGTTGTTTGAACCTGCATTAACGAAAATTCAAGATTATGGAACATAAATTTTAAATTTACCTGTTTTTCTTTCTCTGATTATTACTTCATACACTTCATTTACGACAATTAATAGACAAACGGTGAATAATGTTTCTTCTACCCCATAAAAAGTTACGAAGTTTTATTTATGTCGTGAGCAACTGGGGGATCGACCCAACAGAATATTTTGTTATTATTGCTGAAGCCGACAGGTTTAGAGAGAGATGGCTTAATGCTTTTTCCTGACCTCATGAGTTTTGCAGACGATTGCAACGTCCATTTAAAAGTTCTAAATGCAATTTCATGTCTCGTGTTGCAATAATCCAAATGAACTCACTTGCTCCTTATCAGTAACATCACAGACATACGCCCTGGCACGACCAGTATTCTTGGCTGCCTGTCTAGCAGCAGATTCGCACATATCGCCATCCTTATCAACACAGGCGACAGTAACACCTAGCTGACACAGCTGAATAGCAATTTCTCGACCAACTCCACGTCCCACTCCCACCACCTTCAATAAACATTTTCAATTAACTCCAGTGACCATTTTCCTCAATTATCAAATTATAATTTCCACGAGTTTACAGACCATTGCAATTTCTCCATTAACTTGTTTAAGAGGTGGAGGTCTCAGGGTGCGGTACAGGGCCACAATTATCGATAGCCAGATGCCACACAACAATGTTATTAAATCGAGAGTCAGAACCACTAGGGAATATAGCTGTAACAACATTTCGCGGGATTCTGAACGGATTAGATCTAAAAGCCAAAAATATAACTTTAATGACTCTTTCTGTCGTGAATACACAATGATAAGAAAAATGTTATCGAAGAAATTTTAGTACTGCTGAATTAATTTTTTTGAAACTCTATGGAAAAAATGAATAATCAGGTCAAAAAGATAATTCCTCTATTTGCGCTGAATTGTCACGAAAAAAAATTAATTAAAAATTGATTGAGTCTTGAGAATGAAGATGAAAATTTTTAATCGATACATGATCGAATTGAATAAAAATACCGAAATTAAAGTTTCTTTCTCTTGACAGGAACTAACACGTGGCGATATAACCGAAAAACTCTAAATAAATCTACTCGATAAAATCTTCACTTCGTCCATGAAAATTAGATTAATTAATCCCCAAAACTCCACGAAGTTCTAGACAACCGAAAATAGAAACTGACGATATTTCAAAATGAATGAGTTCAGATTGTAATCTCACCTTTTATTAAAACATTACTGCGATATCGTGGTGATAAATTATATCACTCCAGTTCGTAACCTTTGCGTCTTAGCAGAATATCTCTTGCAATAACAACCGTGTGATTATTGTACGATAAGCCTATCAATTCCACAGGCACTCAATGGGTTTTTCGTCGATTGATTGACCCGATATCGTATTTATCAACAGTCACCAAAAATGCTTCAGCTTCAACAAAAAGTCATTAGCTGCATGGAACAATCTGTCATCTTATGAATTATGCTGCAGAACGAGGGAGCAAATTGAACAGAATGGTTTAAACTCGTTTGAATATTCATATTTGAATGTTGGAAAATGTTCAATGTCGATCATACAGTTTGCAATCGCGAAAAAAGCCGATACTGCAGATTTCTCGCAGAAAGAGAATTTTTAATTTTCCATAATGTTATGATTTTTTAGTCGTATGATGGACATTAGTGCACATGAATAATCGAGAATCCGTGAAACAGCAATTCACGTACATAATTCCACAAAATATCAACGTGAACAGGTGTTATGCAGATTCATAGGCGTCTCGTATTCCATTTGGTCGGGACATCGAATTTCCTCCCATTAATAATGCTCTCCGTTTCAAACCAAGGGACTAGTAAAGGCTACTGTAACACTGTTATCATATATTAATCGTAATTATGATGTAATAGCTATAATGGATGAAATGGATGGTGCATATGCAGATATTATCTTTTCTAGGGGATAGAGATGGCGAGTGTGCGTGTCAATAGTAATATCCTACATTAATATCTTCCGGTACATCATCATCAATGATCATTCAGTTGTGCTTTCGGCTAATATGGAGGAATGGTCCACCGTGAGTATTCGGATTGATGGGGAATTACGTCGGTTCCTGCCAGGGAACTAAACCAAATCTATTCCAATTCCACTCAGATGAACTAACAATAGTTCATTTCAATTCTATTTTTTATTTTGATCATTTTATCTTTTATTCGTCATCAAATCACTATCGACATTGTAAACTAGAAATGTTTAAAATTAAAAGAAAATTATTTACAATCGTATAATTTGACATTTTTTGAGGAACTGGTGTACAATTCGTAGGGTGTGCATACAAGTGTATTTTTTTCCAGACCAATTTTCAGCCAATATCCCAGCATAGAAGGAAAATAGCGAATTTTTTGCATCAACATTTTTTATAGAAAAATATGAGAGCTTGAAGAAAGGTCTTAATGGAAATATCACCATCTTTCTTTGATTTCGAGAAATCGGCTAAAACTGGTCACGAAAAAAATGTACTCATCCCAGTTTATCACTTCGGAACAGAACTATTAATCACTGAAATTACAGCTGGCGTTCCGGTTTGGGATGCAATGGAAAAAAAATCCAACTTTTAAAACACTTCGAGATAAAAAAAATAATGAATTCCATTCCTTTGATATTAGCTATAAAGCTCGAGGTAAAGCGGCAGTTGTGCCCTCGGGTTGTGTGACCACTACCGTATGTTCGCATTATTCCAGCCACAATTAGCAGAATGTAAGTGGAATGCCTGTTGGCATCGCGTAAAACTTTTACTCAAGTCTCATTCCAGTGGCATCTTACCCTCTTGATACATTTCAATGTACGGAACCAAGAGATTATCGCTAATGCTGCGACAGTCTCGGTATGCATAAAATGACGACATTATTTCCCCCTTAATGCCTTCTTTTCCTTGCTACCCTCATTTTTTCGATGGATAAAAAATACCACCACGTAATTACGAAAAAAAAAAAAATCATTGCTATTGTTTCATTATATGATATGATGAAAAACGAAATAAAGCTAGAATGGATAGACGAGTCAAACGTTTTCATTCTACAACAGATGAAATACAAATGCCAACTTTCTGTAATAATTTCCAATTAACTGGGGTCGATTGAACGATACAGAGACCAATTCCAGCTTTTACCAATACCGACGGTTAACTAATGCATATAAAATGCATGTAAAGAATTGAGCTGAATGGACTGATTTAAATTAAATTATGACAAACTGAAGTAATCGAGAAATGCTCATTTAGATGTCCTGTTTTATTTTCCACTCTTGAACTGGAGTTGAAATTCTCATGGCTTAATCGAGATGAGTACCTCCCCATCCAGCATTCCACCCTGTACATTTCTCATTATTATCGCTTTAATTTGCATGAAAATTCAAAGAGACTTTCAACACAAATGATCATAACGACCCGCCGCTATAATCCTAGCGACTGATGTTAACTATTCGCTTATCCTCGTGGAGGAAGAGGATAATTGGCAAGATGAGTACAGAGCGTATCCACCGATTCTGAAAATAGTTGGCCTCTCCCTCCTCTCATTGTCACAATATGCATGCGATATTCAGCCTTTGATCTCCATGCAAAATGAGGCAGGAGGAGGCTCAATGGCTGGTCTGAGTTTCGAAACTTGTATTAAGCTGAATATAACACAATGGTGGGTTTCTCCATTAAATCCAGCGATAAATACGTTGTTACCAATTTCATCAGAAGCCCCAACTGTTACCCACTACATCATATGTACACCAATACTCATTCAGGGAGTGTTACGCCCAACCTCGCCGACCCTGGCAATTATTCACTAGGGAACGAGCGGTAGATATGCTAAAGTTGAGACTGAGGGAATTACGGCAGGGTTCAGAGGTCAAGGGATTTTTCTCACGTTTTCATTTGGCTGTATGGATGTATCCGGAGGAAAGGAGCTGTGGATAAATTATCAGCACGTCTGCCGCTGAAAAAACTCCCATAAAAATTCATCAACAAAAAGGGAAAAAATTGCATACAATCAAAATGATCAATCCTCCATTAATTACTCGTAGTAATTGGTACTATTCTTCTCCTTATTTCCTTAAAAAATAATTATCAAAGAAATTGTTATCAACTTGTTCGATTCAGGATTTACTGAGAACTTGATTGCGCAAAAAATATAAGAATCAAGGGATAAAATGAGGCGAAAAGAATATGACTTCATGATATTCTTTACCTGACATATACGTGAAAAAATATTTGGCTCTATATTTTGGATTTTTCGGAATTTTTAGTAAATTCTCGGTGGCGTGTGAACAGTACCTCCGACAAATCCCCCAAGATTCCAGCAGTAGTCGGAAGGAGAGCTGATAAAAACCAGAATAAATTTCTTGCCCCCCATCTGCTTCGTAACTTCAATTTATTACAAAAAAAAAGAATCACCGCGAACATTACAAAACTGCGGATTGAGAGCTGCTGAATGATAATTGACGAGACTCTCGTCTTATTTATGATTGTTTCAACGGGGTGTACTACGTCCATGCCAGGATTAATTGGCAGTATGAGTAAATGGGGATTCATTAGATGGAGTTTTAGTGATGGTCGATGGATCAGTGTTTCAACTCAATGCTCGGCTGTTATTTTCTAGTGAGAGAAGAGTGGACGTGTGCGCGATTGCAATTCAGAATAAATAAAAGGAGAGTAAAAAAATAAATGAGTTAAATCGAGTGGTTGTGGTACGATGCCAGAGAGGAAGATAAAAGTGAGGGAATCGAGAATGGCTGAGGGAGAGCCGAAGAATTGGTAGAATGAGGGAATGGTGGGGTAGTGAGTCTTGACTGGAAGTCTCCATGGATGTCTCGTTTACCATAATACGAGTGTCCAGTGGAGAAAACTGGAGAATCGACGTTCACAGACGGGGTTGAACCTCTCCCACCGATATCTTTCGATTTACTCAGGTATGATGAGTCGTCCTCGATTTATTTATTTACAATCCTATTTTTTATTAGCCAACCATAGTTTTACAATATATTAGTCCCGTAGATGATGATAAAATCGTAACAAACTGAACAAATATGAGAAGGAATAAAAAAAAGGGCCATAGCCCCAAGAGTCTAGATTTACATCTAGAATTTTTGGGGGAGTGAAATAACTTTTCTGTAAAATCGACGTTTTCCATCATCCACCGGTTGATTTCACCCACCACCACTGTCTCCAGGACGGGTAAAATAAACTTTATCTTCGTCTACGGGTATTTATCTAGGTGTCCTTGATTAAAAAAAAAAATGATAATTCTCGTCCGATTGACTTTTCGCGGTGGCCACATCCTTCCGGGTTTAGTTACTCAAGAAGTTTTAGCGCGCTCCGCTAAATACCATTCGTCGGCGAGTATCTCCTACCTTAACCCTTCCCTTCCTTCTCTTTTCTCTCGTTTAACCGAACCTCCTGGTGTGCCCCCCGTACAAAATCATTCTTCCACTCCGCGGAAGGCGAAGAACGCCGGCAGAAGTTCCGCCGGAAACTGTACTCCGAAGTACTCGAGTATTTCTCTCATTTACGCACGTGTTCAAGTGGAGTAAAACAATTGGCGAAATTTTTTTTTTTTCATTCCGCGGCAAGAGATGATTGTGGAAAATTTACGAAGGAGAATTTTTTCGAGTCAAGTGCCATCCGCTATATTTTTTTCACTATCTTTTTGGTTCAATTTAATTTAATGAATTTTCCATTGCAGAAAATTGCTAATCGAGACTGTGTATAGTGTTGTTTCGTTACTTGTTTTTTCATCATCCTACGTGATGCGAATTCGTGCTGGCTGCGGACTTTTAAAACTTCTGCGGGAAATGATCAGAGTCGTGTGCAGTGGCCATGTGTATACGTGTGAGACTTACGTACATGTGCTACTCCAATGGTATTTTCCAGGAGCTTAATTCGTAGCCTCCTGTACTATCGGCTTTTCAGGTGGGTTTCTCTATAGTACACCCCTTCCTCCCTACTTTTTTCCTTGGGTCTCCTTTTTTTTACCCCCATTGCATTTTTTTTACCCCCCGCTGGGCGAGTGGTTCAAAACTCGCACGTGCTGAAATAGTTTTCCACGTGTTTTTTTTCCCCTCCTTTTTCTTTATTTTATCGTTAACTAATGAACCTGTCGACGATACAAAAAGGACAAGAAAAAACTAATGAAATAAGTTTTGGGAAAGTTTTACGTATGTTTCAGTTAAATTGGACTATCCATTTGCGCCCATTCTCTCCGAAGGAGACAAAAAAGGGGGAAAAAAAAGAAAAGTGAAAAATTTAGATGAATTTCCAGTGAATTTTTTCGTTTAAAATCGTGACCACTGGAATTTTTGGTGGCATTGCAGGGGGTAAAATTCGTGGTATGAATGAGGCATGAGATGAATAATGTTCGTTGAAAAAGAATGATGAAAATTGAATGGATTCCCAGAGTTGTACGCACCATTGGTATTCCTTTATCTATTTCATATGCTCGTTTCTCTTATA